TTTGCAATAATTTGTACCAGACATAGAGTAAGATAATACCAGCTTTCGGTGTTTTACTACCAGATATTGAGACTTTAGTACCACTTTTAATAAACACATAAAAACACTAAATTTCGTCTCAAATGATGTTTATATGACCAATAACCACTCTCACATTATTTTCTATGAGATTTATGGCGCGTTTAATTAACTTTAATCGCAAATTGGTCACAAACTCAACACACTAATGAGAAATCACTACAAATATATTTCATTGAATGACACACTTCATCTCATAGAATCATCATACATGACTACTCTGAATTCTACCTTTATGTTTTAACTTCCATTATTTTTCATTCAAATCTCGCGAGAACGATCCACGTATCATGGTAGACATGGAGGATTAGAGAAATCATGATTCTTAAAATAGTACCAGTTTTGTGAAAAATAGTACTGCGTCTTCTTCTATATGGTACCTGTTTTTTTATCGATTAATACCAACTTTTGGTCAATGAAAATGGATTATTCAATTGTGGTTAACATTTGCAATAACTGGTACCAGGTCTATAGTAAGATAATACCATCTTTCGGTGTTTTAGTACCACTTGTAATGAACACATAAAAACACCGAATTTTGGTCTCAAATGACGTTTATATGACCAATAATCACTCTCATATTATTTTCTATGAGATTTAAAATATTTTTAATTGAGTTTAATCGTAAAATGGTCATGAACTCGACACACTAATGATAAAACACTACTAATATACTCCATTCATTGAATGACACACTTCATCTCAAAGAATCATCATACATGACTACTCTAAATTCTACCTATATGTTTTCACTTCCACTATTTTCTATCCAAATCACGTGTGACTGATCTACGTGTCATGGTAGACATGAAGGATTAGAGAAATCATGATTCTTAAAATAGTACTAGTTTTGGGAAAAATAGTACCGCTTCTTCTTCTACGTAGTACCTGATTTTGATCAATTAGTACCAACTTTTGGTCAACGAAAATGGATTATTCAATTGTGGTCAATATTTGCAATAATTGGTACCAAACCTAGAGTAAGATAGTACCAGCTTTCGGTGTTTTAGTACCAGATATTGGGACTTTAGTACCACTTGTAATAAACACATAAAAACACTAAATTTCGGTCTCAAATGATGTTTATATGACCAATAACCACTCTCACATTATTTTCTATGAGATTTATGACGCGTTTAATTAACTTTAATCACAAATTGGTCACAAACTCAACACACTAATGAGAAATCACTACAAATATACTTCATTTCATTGAATGACACACTTCATCTCATAGAATCATCATACATGACTACTCCGAATTCTATCTATATGTTTTAACTTCCATTATTTTTCATTCAAATCATGCGAGAACGATCCACGTATCATGGTAGACATGGAGGATTAGAGAAATCATGATTCTTAAAATAGTACCAGTTTTGGGAAAAATAGTACCGCGTCTTCTTCTACGTGGTACCTGTTTTTTTATCGATTAGTACCAACTTTTGGTCAATGAAAATGGATTATTCAATTGTGGTCAACATTTTCAATAATTGGTACCAGGTCTATAGTAAGATAATACCATCTTTCGGTGTTTTAGTACCACTTGTAATGAACACATAAAAACACTGAATTTTTGTCTCAAATGACGTTTATATGACCAATAATCACTCTCATATTATTTTCTATGAGAT